AAACAAATTTGAAACATCATTAAATAGAGGTAATTATTATTAGCATGTCAATACTCTTCTGCCCTTGTTAGGCATTTTAAACATATGTTAGGTCTTGTCATTCTGGACTGATTTCTGAATATACCCTTAATTTTTCCTACATTAAAAACACTTTAAAATAAAATTTTAGCTAATTTTTTTAAATTTCAAAGGTAATATATGTTCAAAATAGAAACTTTTGAGAACAGAGTCAAAAGACAATAAAATTCACATGTTATCTCACCACCTACAAATAAAGTCATACACAGAATTAAATTGTGCTCACTCATCCATGCATGATCCTGTTTTTATAAGTTGATGTGTTTTTCACTTCATTTCAAAAATAACCATTAAATTATTAAATAATCAATAAAATTTTAATTAAATAGTGACATCCAACCATTCACCCAAATGACCCAAGCACTATTTATTAACAATAGTCTAGGGCCGGAGATTTAGCTCAATGGTTCTGCCGCCTGCCTCACCAGTGCCAAGGTCCCAAGTTTGATCCCCAGTACAAAAAAACAAAACAAAACAAAACAATATTCTAAATCCATCTGTATGATCTTCCCTATTCTGACTCTGCTTTTTCAACACTCATGGGCATTATCCTGAATTTATTGATTGATACTTATTTGCGTTTTATTGTTATTTATATCCATATATTTGTATCCTAAATAATAAATTAATTAGTTTTTATGTCTGGGAATAATATAAAAGGATATCCTTTGACATGTGGTCCTTGGGGACTTTGTGTTAATTTAAAATTCTAGAAGTAAAATCTACTATCACTATGTGTAGATCTAAATTTATGTCACTTCTACATAATATTCCACTGTTTAAATATACTATAATTTATCTATTTTCTGCTTTGGAGTCTTTTTTACTAACATTTTAGTGCATATCTTCTGGCTATTTTTCTGAGTATGCTTATATAATTTTCCTTCTACAAAGCATGATTATACATACGATGACATCATCTATTCCTCTCACTCATGAGACCTTGTGATTATATTCCTTTTTCATTTAATATTCTTCTATGGTATGAATTTAAATGGCTGGAACATATGCCATCCCATTGTTATAATTTTTTAACCACTCCCAAATACTGAAAATTCAAATCACTTGTAATATTTTGCTATGATAACCAAAGTATTTCTCCTTTGGCTCAGTAATTCTCTCTTTTGCTTTTTACCCAAAATAATATCTGAACAAATTTATACATAATAATGTGCTAGGTCACCAAGTAGAATGACATGGTGTGTGTTCCGGACAACTTGTTCAATACACATACGCATCACAGCAACTTTGTATAATACCACATATAGAAGGAACTTGATGGTCACTAAAAGGACATGGAGTAAAGAAATTATATGTTAAAATTATAACAATTATAGAGCTACTGACATGGAGAGTTACTTATAAATTACTGCTAAGTTAAAAATGTAGATCCAATGGTAGAAGGATTCCATTTTATGAAAAAATATAAATATACCCTTGCAAAAGTCTAAAACACCAAAATCTTTACAGTGATTATTTCTGGGCAATGAGATTATTTGAAAATTTAATATTTTCACTTTATTTATATTTTGAAGAGTTTTCAACAATAAAAATTGATTGCATATACAATATAAAGATAATTAATTTGTGCACAAGTATCAATATATTTTGACTGAATAGAAAATACCTTTACATTGTAAGGACATTGGGTAAAAATACTAAGAATATAAAGAAGAAGACAAAAATCACACATAATCCTTCTCAGCCAGTCATAAGGAGTTCACAATCTCTGATCAGGTTACATCTAGTCATTTGTCCCTGGTTATGTATTTTAAAATAGGTGAAACCACATTTTATATCACCTTGTATGTGGATTTTTCACTCAATGTTGTATAAAGAGCATGCCCTAAGTATTTTAATGGAATAATATTACATCACATGTGAATAGCCCATTTACTTAATCATTCCCTTAAAGCTAGACTCAGATTTTTTTTTTTTTTTTTTACCGGGGGTCAAACTCCGGCTTGTGCTTT